CCACAGAAGGTAAGTGAACACAGTTCAGTCTGACTTCTCTACCTCCTGTTGCTCACTGTAAGAAAAGCAACCACAATTATCCTCACTCCACATGCCTAAATATAAGCACAGCACAAAGGTAATGAGAAACATGCCTCTGCTAACTAAAGAAGCTTCCAGATGGAATTGAAAAACATAAACAAACCTCATCATGTGTTCTCATCAGTGGCTACACACCAAGTTTAAGGCCAGCCTGGGCTACATTTCACTCTCTCTCAAAGCAATGGTAGCAACACAAACCAAAATAAGACAAAAAGAGAGGAGGTATTCAGGCTGTAACTCAATGGCACAGTACAGTATACATGGTGGCCCCTAGGATCAACCCAAAGCAACACAATAAGTTAAGCACACACATGAAACACATATACATAAAATGAAGAAAAAGAAAATGGTGATGTACTTTCAGGTCTTATAAAGATAAAACACACACACACAGAACCCTCCATTTGATGATTTTTATGAGAAAGCTAAAATACTATAAGCTGACCACTTATGTCCAATGTCATTAAGTTTTCATTACATTATCTAGTGACCTCTACTGGCCACTAGAGGAAAAGCGAAAAGAAATGTGTCATTCTAATGTCATTAGGGAAAGCTGTAAGGAAGGGTTAGCCAGGACCTGCTCTAAGATCTGCTGGTCTGCCCAGGAGCCTGTTTACATGGTACTAAACGAGAAGAATTTAGCAAAGTTCATGGATGGGCCAGTGAGATGGGTCACTAGGTAGAAACTTGCCACCTGATGACTTGAGTCTGATCATGAGGACCCACAGGGTGAAAGGAGAGATGCCATTCCACAAGTTGTCCTCTGGCATGTGTTTCCCAATACACAGATAACACACAAAATACATACATACATGAAATGAATGTCATTTCTAATGTTCAAAGTTCATGTAAATACAGCAAAAAAGCAAGACAAACAACAACAAAAATAGAAACCCTTCCAGGTAGAAGACAGAAATTAAACTGCCTTCCCCCTTCAAACCAGAATTATTCTGGGACAGACTCTAAGAGGTGCTCAGACTATAGTAACCCCACACACAGCAGTACCTTTTCCTTCTTCATGGGGCTCATGATGTTGCCCAGGTCCTCGACATCAACCAGGGAATTCAGGCTCTGATAATCCTGGGTCCCCAACTCCTCCTCACTGCTGCTCTCACAGGGCTCTTCCTCCTGCAAGGCAGGTGCTTTAGAGCTTTACACAAAGCTGATCCTTCACTCCCCCTTCCACAGGGTCCCTGGAGGTTTTACTGTCTTTGGATGACTTTGTGTTGCTGGGGATGGACACCACGATCTCGAATAATGCTGGCAAGGTGTTCTGCTACTGAGCCACACCTCCAACTACCTTTACAGTGTTTTGTTTATGACGTTTGTTTTCTTTTTTTATTCATTCTCTCTCTCTCTCTCTCTCTCTCTCTCTCTCTCTCTCTC